CCTATTTATAAGTGCTTTTATAAATGGTTCGTGCGTCTTTAACTTAAAGGCCAATACTTCACAAACAAAATAAGTTCTCTTACACTTTAGTTTAGTAAACTTTTTCACCACACCGTTAGATTTTTCTGAAATATTGTGTAGAATATTTATAGGCTAGGATATTCACAAATCTTAATTTTGAAGGCTATAAGATAATTTATTACAGAGGAATTAATAATTGTAACATTTTAAAATTCCGCAAAATCCGTCATTTTTTTTCTAATTTTTTAAATAACTACTAAACCTGTATAAGTTATTTAGGAGTTTCTAACTTTTTAAGTTGATTTTAAAGATGTAATCAGAATATGTGTATTTTCTATTGGTTTTGCATGAGCATTGCATTTACTAAACAAAATCAAGATTCTTTTCGACATGTTTGATCTTGACCGCATGCAGTTTTTAAATTTTTATATGTTAGATGGTATACCACTACTTCCGGAATAATTTATCTTTGTTTTCCGTCTAGGAGCTGAGAAAACCTCTCTTGAACTTTTATTTTTTTCAAAAACTACAGGTGACACATCGTCGTCTGAAAATTGGTTTGTTCTATCTCCCAAAACCTGAAAAGGGAGAACAAGCCATTTAAAGTTTCATTTATAACTTACTTCTGCAGTTTAAAACTTATTGCAATTAAGTTTTATGTAGTTTATTGAATTTACTACATAAAACTGCAATATGTTTTAAAATGCAGAAGTAAGTTATAAATGAAACATTAAACAGCTTGTTCTCCCTGTTCAGGTTTTGGGAGATAGAAACCAATTCTCACATGTTAAAAAGATGATAGGTGAAAGATGTCAAAAATGACAAGTGACGGGTGTCAGAAATAAGCTAATAAAATGAAACGAAAATACCAAAGTAAACTGACATCTGTTATTTGTCATTAATAATAATAGTTAGGATTTCCGTGGAAGTTCATGTTTAATATTAAGAAAATTTAATTTTTAATTATTATATGGTTTGTCTTTATTTCTCCCAAAATAAAGACCATCCATATAATAATTGAAAATTGAATTTTCTTATAAGAAAATAATATTAATAATTATTATTATTGTGCTTTATTTTGTGAGAGGGATAATTGGATAAGGAGCATAGCGAATAATTTAACCCTTTGATAAAAATAAAAATACTGTCAACACTTACATCAAAAGAAACTTTCACTTTAATAAATTTTCCAGGTAACGAATTAAAAAAAAAATTGTCACATCTTGCTAAAATTTTAGAAATCCAAATAAGTAATTTTTTGCTCATTAATTATCATAGAACATTTAAAACTGAAATTTTTATTGTTCTAGCCTATAGACAAAATTTAATTTAAGAATAATCTGAGTCGGTGTGGCGAACTGCACTATTTGATCTGACGTCAAATAACCATTTTTTGATTTTCAAGTAATGCTTATGTTTAAAATAAGTAAAAACTTAAAAATTAACCTGTGCTTTAAAATTCAAATTCTACATTTGGCCAATTATAATAATAAAATAATTATAATTATACTCTCTAAAAATGAATGAGTCAAAAATGAGTTTTCAAAGTGAAAAAGCACTGTAGCCCACAGCATAATAGTCAATTCTCTTAATCCCCTTAATTCAAAAATACCGTCAAAAATGATGAAACTAGAGCAGTTTTTTAGATGTAGTCAATTCCATATTATATTAAAAATTGACAATATCACAAAAACTATTCTACGTTTATAACTTTTGACGACATTTTTGGATTCAGCAGAGAATTTTACATAGGAATTGACTGCTAAATGCTCGGGGTAGAAATTGCTGTTGACAAGAATTATAAGTGGATGCTTTTTCGCTATGACAATAAGTCATTTCTTACTAATTCATTCATTCATTTTAAGAGTTATAATAATTAGTTATAATAATTATTAGACTTATTGTATGCCCTACCTAAGTATAAGTAATACACATTTAAAGCATACACCCATACCCATCTTGAATTTTACATTGCTAGTTTGTCAAAACTTGAAAACTAAAAAGCAATTTAATTAAAATTGGTTAAGAAATGGCTGAAACCATAACTGTAAAATTCCACCTTATAAATTATTTTTAATTAAGATCTGCTGTAAATTTCTTAATTTTCCTTTATTTCTTTAACTAAATAATATGTTTTTCTGTAACTTTTACTAAACTGGGTAACTGTTGTATTTAGCGAATAAATTTAAAACAAAATTAATACTTAATCTTAAGCTTATTATTAGATTTGTAACTATTTTTAATCAAATTTTTCTTAAAATTATTCTCTAAAAACTAGTTTAAACTTTCTTATCCCTAATAAATATGTATTGGTTTTTATTCAAAATGGATTTTTGCGTATTGTAAACCTACAACTCATTAAAAATACACAACTTTTACAATTTAATTACAAGTAACAGATTTAATCTTCCGAAAAGGAAATTACCTTGTATAAAAAACTGAAACAGAACAAATTGCCACTGAGCCATAAAGTTTACGAGGGCAATAACTGACGGAAATTTTCCACAAATTTGGTTTTAATTAATTAAAAATAGCTAACAGTAAAATTTAATGTAGCTTTTTAAATAAGTTTATTTATAATCAATAAGTAACGCGTTAACGTATCGAGTAAATAAATATTTGGCTTTAAAACCTAAAATTAATATATTTGAGTTAATTATAATAATTATATTAATAATAATAACAATGATAATACTAATTAAAACACAATAATATTTTAGCTGTTGATTTATTAGATAGCTAATATTCCCCAATAAAATTTAACTAAAAATTTATGACGACATTCATTTTCGATACAGCACAATTTTTGTAAATTTATATAATACATATATAAATGTTTAAATATTGTGTCGTTTCTAAAATATTATTACCACTTACATTTAAAAAATATAAAAAATATAAATTAACTTATCCTTTAAAAAAAAATTTTTAAGCTTTGTCAATTAACCGTTTAGAAAATGGATTTTTGTTTTTTAATGTCAATAATTGTTGATAAACATACCATAAAAATGGTTTCCTCTACCTTTTTTGAAAAAAAAATTTAATGAAATAAATAAAATTCATTCAACAATCTTTATTTATTGTGCGATTTTAACAGATTTTTTTGTATGTGGATCTTGATAAATTGTATTTTTAGAGCAAAAAGCGCTAACCATAGTATATCTCAGTTTTTGGAAATGTATATGTCACACAGGAGATTAAAAAAACGGCATAAATTTTATCGAAATTTTTTTAATAAAATGATTTTAAGACAATAATAAATTTTCTTAGTTGTGGGCTACCCTGCAGGAAAAACCAAATTAATTTTGTCGGCTTGTGCACGAATATTTAGAGATATAATATAAAGTTCATATACTCGGACAATGTCCGACGGACATGGCCAGTAGTATACTATACCTATACCTATAGGTACTTGGCAAGTACAGTGGCGAATCCTGGATTTTTTTGAGAGGGGAGGGTTTTGTGGAGTTAGTTATATCGCTTACTATACTTTTTTTTTAATAAAATCTTGTTCTAAACCCATATCTATAGTCAATCAATAGTTTTCGGAAAAAATGACGTTTGGCGCTTATAAGAAAAGATTGCGAAATCCTATAGGTTATAACCCCTGCCGATTAAAACTCAATTTTTTTTGTTTATAATTTCATTTTTGCCGAAAAACTGTAAAATTCGTAATTTTTTAAAACTTTTGGCGTTCTGAGCGATTGCATATACAGGGTTTACCAGAATATGTGGTCAATCTCCCGGATTTAGATATAACACATACATATAACATAATATGACAAGTTCCTATAATTTTTTTTCCTACGGCCCTCCCTACGGGGATACTGACTTAAATCTCTAATACCCTTCTGACGTTGTAAACCTTTTGGTAATAGCACTAATAAATATTATTATTATTATTATTATTATTATCATTATTATTATTATTATTATTATTATTATTATTATTATTTATTTATTTACTCATCCAGCTATTAGCTTAAGCAATGATTAGAACATTTAGTACCTATTTTAAAAAATCCATAACCACGGTTTTTTTCTTTCTGTTTACTCAGATGAAATTGGGACCAGTTCACAGGTTAAACTTTAAACATTTAATTTGTGTAAATAAATCCAAAAGCACTTCCCTTAGTTAAGATATTTACAATTTGAGCACATAACCTAAAATTTGAAAGAAATGCACTAGATACTGTCATAAAAGTTGACAGATTTTGTTTGAATTTACCTTCAGTACAAAAATGACATAACCAACAATTAATAAAAACGCCAAATTGACAATTTGCATTGTTGATTTTGTCATTTTTGTAATTAAGTTAAATTTAAACAATGCTTGGCAACTTTTTTGACAGAATTTGGAAACGCTGTTGTTACCAACCATAACATAATAAATTAAATTAAGCAACCAGATTAGCCTAGCTTAAAAGTTAGGTATTATAAATTATTTTTAGTCTTTGGAATTTAGAATAAAAAAGTTTCAGGTGCTTCTTTATGGACCCTAAGGAACAACCTATTTATATATATATATATATATTATATATTTGCGATTTTGTTATGCTGTATACTTTTTCAAATACAAATTTGCACCACCCTAATATACATAAATATATAAACTTAAAAATCATACCAAACCACATCTAAAATCTCCGTTTAGTTTAGTTTTAGTCTTTTACTAAGTGAAATATTAGCGGTAGAAGCTTAAGTGAATAGAATTTTTCGTAGAGTAGGTACCTATTTAATGCCCCTAAAGGATCATTAGTTAGTTGTAAACTTAAAAAAAAATGTCCACGTAGGTTGCAGAAAGAAATAATGCTGAAATTATTTGTAATAAATCAATTTGGCACTAATATACTATACAATTGGTTTACACCATTATCTGTACTGTCTAAGCCACATCACAACTTAGTAGGTATGTAACGCTAAACGTTATAACGCTAGGAGCCCAATTATTTGGCTCCTAGCGTAAGGATAAAATGATCTCACCCGTCTAAATCAAGGAATGCCATGTTAACATGTCCTGTATCGTGCTTGAAGTAAGCCAAACGACTTGGGGGAGGCAGACCGGAACCTTTAGAGGTGCAGCGGCCATCGGGGATATTAGCTGTGGAAATTGATGTACCGGAATCTGAATTATTTGTGAGTTTCCTGCAAGCTACGGTGGACCCGCAGCCGCTCGTCCTTTTTATCCTATTTATCACGTCCCTCCTGCAAAAGTTGATTACTGTTATGAATTGATGGTTCAACATTAATTATTCTATTAATTTTGGGAATTAGGTCGCAACTTGCGACTCGCAAGCTACCAGAAAATTGTCTACAGGACTCCAGGGAATTATTTTCTAATCGTATTTATTGCACACAATTCGGGATTTAGTACCTTTTATATGTATCTTTTACTTATCCTCTTTTTATATTAATGGGCCATTTAAAAAATATATTAAAATACCTACAATACAATTTCTTACTTAATACTAAAGTCAAACTACGTCAAATTGTCAATGATTTTTTATTGCTTTTTTGGAAATGCCAAAAAAATTGCATTCAATTGTTGCGATTGTTGAGTTATCAAATTTTCTTTTAAATCATAATAAAACCTGTGCGGAATTTAAAAAAATAATATAAAGGGTTTTTTGTTTAGTTAATATCTATAGATTTTTACAATTATTATTACTTTCCAAAAAATCAATACAAATTCATTAATATAGTCGCGGCCAAATCTGCATGGGTGCACCCAAATATAATACACTCCATAGATTGGAAACTGCACTGGCGCTAGCGGCAAAAGGCTAAAGTAAATTGACGCCATCTAGGTCTACAATATTTAAGCAATGCCAAAAATAGATTTCTGTAGCATATATTGGCGCCATATTTGATGCTTCGTAGGGTGCCTTTATATATTTATTTACTGCTGTATTTTAAATAAAACAAGTATGAATATAAGATTTATTTATTGTAGTAATAAAATAATATAAAATAAAATATATATGTACATATTAAATACAAAATATATATGTACATATTAAATACATAATCAGTATACATGAATATGTTTTTGTTAGGGGAGTGCAAACCTAAACAATATTAGTCTTAATTCTTCAATAATAAGAAAATATTGTAAAATTTGGTAATTTCGTCCAGGCTCCTTCACAGTAAAAAAATATTTGTTAATTTTAACCAAATAATAACCAGATGTTATGTTAATCCAGGTCCACATAACTTTTTGTTAAGTTTACAACCAATCTGTTAACTGATTGAATAAGTACTTTGTAATTATTACAGACCTTTTGTAGATTTAATAACAAAATTCCATGTCAATTTCAACCATAATTCTTGTATTTTTTTACAAACTTTTATGTAGACCCAGTATCAAAAGTATTTGTTGTAAATTGGGAACTTTAAAAAAAGTCGTTTTTTCGCGTAAATACCATGAAATACTATGGTTATTAAACTTAACCGTGGTTAATAGTTAAGGCATTTTTGCGTTTAGAGTGCGTTCAAAAATCCTAACTATGACGTCACAAATACCAGACCATAAAACTATATCGCTGAGCTAGTTATTCAACGTGGTTAATAGTCTTTCTCTTTTTAATATATATTTTTCTCTGTTTCGATCTGTCAAGAAGTTGTTTACATTTGAAATTTAAAATATTTTAAGTATACCTATAGGTACAATTGCTCTTAAACCGAATTTAAACTTTGTATTAAAATGGTAAACGGGGTGTTGTCAGTAAAAATAAATGATAGGGTGCTCCATATTGTGAATCTCCACAAGTGGAGGAATTATATGCAGGTTTTTTTATATTCTTCCTTATTTTGTATTAAACATGTAGGAGAATTGGATAACGTGTATTAAAAAAACTAGTACCTATAGAAAAAGAATATACTAGGTATAAAAAGAGGCAAAGAAATTTATTTACACCGGTAAAAGCATAGAAATTAAATATAAATAGGTAAAAACACATTTCAAAAATTATAGGTTATGAACAAGTAAACAAATGTCAAATGTTAGAAACCTAACCATGGTTATATGAATTAACTGTGACGTCATGACTTATTTAACCGTAGTATTACATAGTATTTACGCGAAAAAACGACTAAAGAGAATTTGTTATAAGAAATTTTGCTTTATTAAACAATTTTCTAAATAAAACAAAATTAACACATACCTACATAAATGAACACAAAAATAGCATACACAAAATTAAATAACACACTATTCTGAAATCATCAGATTATATAGAAATTTGGTACAATATAACTATCAGTACTACTAAAACACTTACTGATGTATTGACGCTGACACAACTTGTTGATAAGTGTGTTGTAGTGGTGGGTTGCTATCGCGTAAGCTGCTATTTTTTCACAGTTTTTTTGCTGAAGCAGCTATCACTGCTACCCGGTTTTAAAAAAAGCTGCCACCAACAACATAACCTAACTCCGCCGTTTGTGACCGCATTTAACGTATTGTCTGCGCACAGTGATCGATATCGCTGTTTCGAATTCCGCTATATCAAAAAGCTGCTGACTCGGCCTTGGACAGCGCCACTGCTGTGTGATGTCTGGATTTTACTAACGGAGGTATAACTTTATAAAGTTACAGCATTGGAGACTAATTAATAATATGTTATACACTTTAAATAAAAATGAGTTTTAATTTGCAACCGAGTAAAAAAAATTTAATTTTTAAACTCGGATTTTTAATACTAAAATTTATTCATATCTAAGCTATTTTTAATTTTTTAAACCTAATCCTAGCATAGAAAATCATTATTAACAACATTATAATTTCCAATCATTGCAAAAGATCGCGATTATTTGCTAGTAAAGATCCCTGTGACCTCTCCCTAGACGTTTGTAAGCCAAGCAGAAGCGATAATATAGCGCTATAGCGAACCCAAATAGCCGTTTTAAATGAAACATGCGCAAGAAACATTCCCACGAGCACCGTTTCGGATAAACTGCTTCTTTTAAGCAGCTATTTGATAGCTGCTACTTAAAAAAAGCGGTAACTGTTTTAACTGCCACTTAAAAATAGCGGTTTTGCCCACCTCTAGTGTGTTGTGATGGGAAATGTTTTGATTGGCTGCCTGAAGTAACGTGTGCTTTTTCAACAGAATAATTTGTTAAACATTATAATGTTATAACAAAATATTCCTTAAAATTAAATTGGGAACTTTAAAAAAGAGAATTTGTTATGAGAAATGGTTTATTAAACAATTTTCTAAATAAAACATAATTAACACATACCTACATAAATGAACACAAAAATAACATACACAAAATTAAATAACACACCATTCTGAAATCATCAGATTATATAGAAATTTGGTACAACATAACTATCAGAACTACTAAAACACTTACTGATTTACTTTAACTTCACTATATCGCCTAATTTTAATTTGAAAACCAATAATTTAATTATAAACACTCCTGTCACCGTTAAATATTATAAACACCCGTTAACCCTGACACAACTTGTTAATAAGTGTTGGAAATGTTTTGATTGGCTGCCTGAAATCACGTGTACTTTTTCAACGGAATAAATAAATAAATAAATAAAGTTTTTATTTCATATTCAGTACAATACAGAACATATAATACAAAATATACAAAAGGCCATCGACCGGGGTCCTTCAGCCTTCAAAGGAATAATTTGTTAAACATTAACAAAATAATCTATAACCTTTGAAATGCTTACAAAATTGCATTTTACCTTTACAAAACTTTCGGTAACTAACTACAAACTCATGTTAACAAATCTTATTTTTATAACAGTGAACTTGGCCTGGACTAATTTACCATTAAACAAGCAATCCTAAATAATTCATAATTCACAAACAGTATTTTTAAGCTAGAGCGATACAGCCGTGCTAAGCCAAAGAGACGCAACTCCACATTTTTAATTTATAAATTATAGCGCTTTATTGTTTTTTTCATAAGATACGTTCAATTTAATTAGCAATTTTTAAAAGCTATATAGTAGGGTGTTTAAAAAAAATCGACTTTTTCTTTTTCTTCAAATGGTCAGCAAATTCTTTCAGAGGATGTCAAAACAAAGACCTCGTTAAAATTTGAGCTTTAAATTTGAAGATTTAGAGGTCGCGGATCGCAATTTTCTATTTCCCATTTAAATAACATAGGAAATTTTTTTTTTAACTTTGGAATTTTATACGTCTATATCGAATCAACTTATGGCAAGGAACATATTAGATTTTTATAGTAAATTTAACGCTCTATAAAAAATGTCTCTTATAATTTTTCTATAAATTGATTTCTTCCAGAGTTATTCGAGGCCAAAGTTTGATTTCCATCGAATTTTCTCGTTTTTTCAACTTTTAGCATCATGTAGTAAAAAAATCACATATTTATATCTGAAACATAGGAAGTGTTGTAAAAAAAAACAAAAAAACAAAAAAACGTCACTTTTTTCCAAAGCCTACTACAAAGTTTTAATGAAAATATGAGATGTGTATAATATGCAAAGTAATTTATTTATAAATGCATTTTTCTCGAAAATGGTGCGTCTGAGCAATTCAAATCAAGAGTACCTATTTTTCGTAAAAAACTATAAATTCTCATAATTTCATAAAAAAAATTAAATTATTAACCCAGAAAAAAGTTGGGGCTATTTTTGTAACTTTGCCCCCTCCAAATGTTACGCCTATGATTAAATTTTAACAGTTTTGATCATAGATCTAGATTCAGCATGTCAAAATTACCAAAGTACATACTGAAAATTAATTTGTTCATGTTCAACCCTCTAGGAATAGTTTAAAAAAAATTATCCTCTTAGGCTCCTATTCAGGGGGCCGTAGCTCCTTTAGGGAGCATTTTTTGATACATGTTTATTAAACAAAAAAAGTGTTATTTTTGTACGAATAATGCACTGTTTAAGTTTGGCCCCCTGATTTCGGGACACCCGTATAATGATAATTGTACCATAAATGTTAAAAAAACGCGAAAATTCGATGGAAATCAAACTTTGGCCTCGAATAACTCTGGAAGGAATCAATTCATAGAAAAATGATAGGAGACCTTTTTTGTAGAGCGTTAAATTTACTATAAAAATCTAAGATGATCCTTGACATAAGTTGATTTGATTCAGACGTATAAAATTTCAAAGTTAAAAAAAAAAAAATTCCCATGTTATTTAAATGGGAAATAGAAAATTGCGATCCGCGACCTCTAAATCTTCAAATTAAAAGCTCAAATTTTGACGAGGTCTTTGTGTTGACATCCTCTGAAG